TATATATATATTGCTGAATCATGATTGATAGACTCTAGAAGACAGCAAATCTTCAAAGAGACTTTATGAACACAAAGGTCTTTATGGGGGATTTGGGTTTTGTTTTGGTTTAGCTCCAAAGATTACAGGTAGCCATATTCAGTTAGTATATTCACTTCACAAATAATGTAATGAACATTTTTAACATAGAATGTTTTCTGCATTTAGAATTACTCTCATACTCTGTGCATCCGCTCTTATCTCCTCCACTTCCTCTGGCCCCACTATACTTTCATTTCCTCCTCTAGCACTATCTCACACATGGGAAAATACAAAACATACTGGTTAAAAAAAAGACATGTGGAGGACAAATTAAGCCAGAAAAGCTCTTCAGATCACAACAGTGCTACTAGTCTTGATGGATGGGAAGGACAAGCACATGAGTAAAATATTTTCCAAATTTACCTATATACTATGAATTACATCTATATGGTATATATCACAATGGAAAATTAACTTTAATACATAGATTTTTGCCAACATATATACTGGTTCTAATACATCAACTCTAACTCTATAATCCTTTCTAACAAAAGTAATAATTATAACATATAGAAATTGTGGTTAGCTTCAAATCATTTCATGATTCAGTTATGAAAATATGTTCAGAACTCTATACTTAAAAGCATGGTGGTATATGGTTGTAGTCTCGGCTTCTTGGGAAGCTGAGGCAAGAGGATCACTTGCCCAAGAGGTATGGCCCAGTCTGGGCGACATAGTATGACCCTGTCTCTTGTCACAATAAAGAGACAAACCCTACAGAAAACTCTGTATGAAATATGGTGTGGTTTAACTCTGATTATTTTAGTAATATAAGGACTTTTGTAAATGTATCTATTGACCATAAGAATGCTGTTAATTATTGGCTAACTCTGACTCACCAAATTCAGTTTCTCCTATATTTTCATTCAAAATCATGCTTCCAACATGCAGTGCTTCAGTGGTAGACGGCGGCTGGATGTCCTCTAATTCGCCTCAGTCAGATCTCACAGGTTAAAGGCTCAGTCCCCAAGACTGCCCCATCTCACTTCAAATGCCATTTATAACACTATGTTTTTTGACCCATGGGCTATAAATCAGGATTCTCACAACCCCCTTCTTGGATTTGATTAATCACTAGAGCAGCTCTCAGAACTCAGGGAGGGTATTACAAAGAATGCAGAGGAAAACCACATGGGGAACACAGGTGGGAAGGGGTGAGGAGCTTCTGTGTTCTCTCCAAGTGTGTCAACCTCCATAACCTCCACGTGTCTGCAATATGGAATCTCTGAACCCTGTCCTGTTGTTTTTCAAACAAAATACATGCTTCATTCCATAGGCATGGCTGATTAAGTCATTGGCTACTAGTGACCCATTCCACCTTCAGCCCCTATATTCTCCCTGGAGGATAGGGAGATGGGGCTTAAAGCCCTAATCCTCTAATTCTGCCTTGATCTTTCTGGCAACCAGTCCTCATTCTGAAGTGACCTAGTGACTGCCAGCCATCCCATTAGCATATAAAACACACTATATTTTTGGAAATTCAAAGGGTTCTAGAAGTTGGGTTATAGGAAACAGGATGAAGAACAAATATGTATTTCACAATGTCCTTTTAGTTCATTTAGTGCCCAGGCTTAAGTTTACATTGAGGGAAAAATACCAATTTTTTTCTCATTCGAATTAGCCATCTTGTAAATAGGTGATGGAGATTATCAGAAGGAAGTTGAAATGGCTGAATATACAACTTTGCCACAACAGTAAAAGTTTTCAAAGAGCATGTTCTACCCATAATAAATCAGTGTCTTCCGGAGGTCTCAGAAATCTACTTAGAACAATCATTTTCCATTTGTAAACATGTATACAAGTATGTTTGTAGCAAGTTTTGGGTACTTTGTTGTTACCATCTCCTTTATAGGAAATGATTGACATAAAACTCAGAATATTTTTGTTGGAATTCATAAAAAATGATTTGAATTTTATATATTTATGAAGGTATCAGTGCTTTGGTTGAAATACCCAAGAACTATGTCATAGCAGCAGTTGGCAAAGAACTGAGTGAGTATGATTTTTTCTTTCTTTTTTTATTTATATACATGTGTGTGCATGTGTGTATATGTGTATATATTTTAAACTAGACTAGTATATAAGTGCTGGAAAGATAAAGTAGTCTTTATTTCAGGGATATTTGCCCCTGCCAAGCCTTGGCTCCTTGGGATTGTTGAAAGTGATACAGAAAGTGAAACATTTTCAAGATGTTACATCAGGTTTCTTGTTAGTAGTTTAGTTTACTATTTTCTTTGTTGTTTTAACAATATATTGCTGCTTTTTCTAAAATCGCAGTCTCAGGATAACTTGGTAGTATTCCACTTAAAGCAGCATTTTCACACAACTTTGATAGGTGTAGGAAGGAGTTCTCTTTTTTATCATCTAAAAGACCTTCTCTTGACAACCACAGTTTGAACATGAATGGCTATCAGAATATAATAACCTTGCTAGAGATTTATAAGTAGGTGAAATAGTGTCAGAAATACAGAAGAAGAAAAAAAAATGGTATGACCTGTTTGCCAGAGAGACATGTGAGAAAGAAGAGAGTTTTGGGTGGGTAATTACCACTACTTGGAAAGGATAAAAGATCTTTCGACTGCTCAGAAGTTAGGAATCATAATCTTTGAGCATCCACAGCACTTGCTCCAGTGGTTTATCATAGCACTTAATTTACTGATGCTAAGTCTGTGTAAGAGTCTCATTCTCACTGTGCACTGAGCATTTCAAGGCAGTGCCTGGGTCTTGTTCACATTTGATAGCTAAAGCTCCAAGTACGTAGTAGAAGTATGATTAAATATTGGTTGACAGAATCACTTTACTTGATTTGATTTTGTATTTTCTGTATTGGTTAAAATTAGGATTATACTAGTTTAAATAAAACTATTAAAGTCAGATAATGAGTTAAGCAAAACATTGAACATCTATCAAAAGAACTGTTTGACATACAAAAATTCTAAGGCTTATTCTCAGCCAATTTATAATATGTTGTGTGTCTAGATATCAAGAAAAGTTGTGTTTTTGTTTATTTGTCACTGAGTTAAAGTTAAGCATGAATTTGTAGTCTAGTTCAAAGCAGTACTTACTGGCCTAGGAATGTGAGTAGAGAAAATAGATAATGGACTTGTTTCAAAGGTGTGGGACAGTCACCCACAAGAGTGGGATGGGATAGCTGGACAACATGAGTTGAAGTCCTAGAAAGAGTGGGGACTTCAGTATTTGCTAGTTAATTTGGAAGAATCAATAAAGCAAACAAGTTCTAAGGAAACCCTGACTTGGAGTTTGAGTAGATTGTTTCAAACATCTCAAGCATTTGAAAGAAACCATTTAAATTAGTATGAATAAGGCTATCTTTGGAGATGGGTTTTTCAATATGGTAGGTATTTTTCACTTCACGAAATATTTGCTTTTTGAGAAGAAAATGGTACTTCATCTTTCTTGAACATTTTAATAGAACAGTATCTCTTTTTGTCATTTAGTAATTTTCAGATTAGTAGAACCCACAGAAGGATCCTTTGAATGGGATATTATTGAAGTTAAGCGCCTCCTTGACCACCAGGATAATATTCTTTCATTGGTTAATGTCAATGGTAAGCTCATCATACATATTTATATTAAGCACAATGTTAACCTATTCTGAACTTTAGTGTTTTTTTCCAGAATTCTCGAATGACTGTTATTAGAGTAATAGATTGTTAGAGATTGTGATTCTCTTTCACTCTAAGCTTATGCCAGTGAAGCTAAGCAACAAGTCTCAAATGTTGTCAAGACTAAGAGTTAGGCATAAGGAAAACAGAGTGAGGCAGCAACAAGAAGATAGAGAAAAGCATAATTATCCTAGATGCCCCATGGTAGCTGTGAGCTGATCATCATAGTGCTCATAGTATTGCAGCATTCTTGGCAAATAGTTCTGGCCAGTTCTTTTTTTTAATATTTATTTTTTTAGGTGTAGATAGACACAACACAATGTCTTTATTTTTATGTGGTGCTGAGGATTGAAACCAGGTTCCGCCCATGCTAGGCGAGCACTCTACCGATGAGCCACAATCCCAGCCTTGGCCAGTTCTTCTTTAGTAGAAAAGATTGGAAATAGTTATGCCCTTTTATCTTGCTGACCATATTGTACAATATCACATAGCAAGTTATACATTTAAAGTAGAATAACCAGGATTTAAGCCAGTTGTAGTTATGATTGAAGAATCCCAGTGAATAAGAAAGGTTTGCAGAAAATGAGTCATGTCTGCCCTTCCTGTAGTTATGGGTTTTGACTTGCCAGACATCTTATTTGGCTCCATATACTATATTAGTGAGTGTCTATGAGCTGAAGCTGACATCACATTGCAGGAAAAGATCACAAACCATAGATCTTGACATTTAGCTAGTTCACTTACAAATAAGTGACAGCTTATATCATCAGAGCTCTATGGGTGATCTGTGTATGAATCAGGTGAGAGAATTCTTCTTGTGGAGACTGCAAATGAGTCCTGTAAGGATCCTGTGAATATGAAATAGTAGAAAGGACCTGGACCCCATCCTCATATTTATCTGAAGCCTGGACTGGCTCTTGAAGAATATTTTGTGTAAACATGAGATGAGGGGAAAGAAGGGCACAGAAAGCACCAAGAGGACCAAATGTGGTCTCTGTTTTTATGCTACTCAGTCACGTTTTCATGTATATTAGAATGTCCCTTCCAGCTCCAAAATCCTTTGCCCAATAGCCATCTTCTTATAAACTCAGCTATATGTCTTTCTAAGGCCCAAATTGTCTATGGTGATAGAAATAACAATGATTGGTAGTGCCCCTTTCATTGTCTCTGGGGACCCTTTTTTTCTAGCCATGGATAGTAGCACAAAAGACCTTTTGAAGCCTCCCTAAGGCCCCAGAGCTGCTGAGAAAAGCATGGCAATGTTCTGGCCTGTTACACTGGTCATGCCTAGTTAGCTTGTTTTAGTGATGAAACAGTGCTACCACTGAACCAGTATGGTTACTTAAATGAAGATGATGGGGTGTTCCTGGTATAGCCTTAACTTCATGGTCTTTCTTTTTCTCTGTGTGGTATGCAAACTTGTATAGGAATATAAATAATTTGCACAATGATAAACTATGGTTAACTCTGTGTTATAACTAAGATGCCAAAGTCAGGAGGTGTCTATACTCTAGTTCTCTGGTTCTTTTACAATACTTGTTTCCCACCCCCACCCCCTCGGGTAGTGCTGGGGTTTGCTAAGCAGATGTTCTACCACTAGCTGTCTCCATTTCAAGGCTTATAACATTTTAAGAAAGTTCTTTCAAATATTTCTTTGCCAGATTCTTAAAGGAAGGAAAATGGAAAGCTAATGCAAAAAAAAGTTATTAATGAATGTTATAGAAAACTTGCAGTACTTTCTACTTTATAAACTCCATGACTATAAAATTACACTACAGATATAAATAAGGCAAAAGAATATTTAGCAATCATACATGGCCAGGCAGTCTGGTAAAGTTTGAAAAAGATTGCTAACCATCTTCTCTTGTGCATGGGCATGTCAGTGATGTTGAAGATTTTCGTGATCCTGAATTGATTATGTTGTTTAATTTCCTCCTCTAATTTCTACCCTGTCTCTTTGTCCTTATCCATTAACACTAAAAGATGTGGCCAGTTACTGGGTTTCTAACTTGGGGAGCTGGGGGAGTACGTACATGTTCAGTGAGGTAGACCCAAGGCAACCTTAGAATGGTATACTAGAACTCCCACAAATATGAATAATATATACCAGGAGATTTGCATGCCCGGGCAGAGATTTCCTAAGACAAACAACATAACTTTGCTAATACCTTCTGGCCAAAGGCTCTGTGTGCTTCTTCATTTTTTTCTTTTCTTGCTTTGTGCTGACAGCATGGTCTGGTATCACAAAGTATTAGTACTTGCAAGTTATGAATAGACAGATGCCAGGTCAGATTTCCATACTAAGTATCTTGATACTTAGAGGATGAAAGTCCATCCACTAATATTACACCATTGAGGCTGTTTGGTGTGAAACATTTTGTGTGACTTGTATAGGAATATAAATAATTTGCACAGTGATAAACTATGTGCTGACTCAGATGAATGTAAGCATTTTGTTCTTAGTGAAAATTTTCAAGTGGTCATTAATACTGTGTTTCTGTTGCATAGAGGAATCACAGGTACTTGGAGGATTAAGTCAGCAGACAGCTGCATGACCTCAGTGGGTTCATTCTGTGTTATAACTAAGATGCAGAACCAAAGTCAGGAGGTGTCTATACTCTCAGTTCTCTGATTCTTTTACAATTTGAGTGAAATTGAAAAGAGCAAGGTAAAGGGTGAAAGAGAAGGTTATAGAATGATTTGGACTGCTTTAAACTTTTACACTATTGAAAATACAAAGTTGTTTCTCTCCTGATATAAGAAATGAACTTATTTTTCACACAGAAAAATCTATAATCTTTTAATAAAGCTACCTATTATGGCCTTGGAACTAAGATAGAATGTTTACATGTATGATTACTAGTAATTTTTTTTATTTCTAAGAGACATCTGGTTATTAGAGATTTCTGTCTTGCTGGTTTACTGGATAAATGGAATAATTAAATCACAAGTGTTCATCTCTGTTTTCTTAAATCACATGTCACTGGATGTTTTAATACCATTAATGTGGAATAATACTAGGGGCTCAAAATAATACCTGAGACTCAACGATAACATTTGATATCTTTTTAAAAATGTCTAGACATGTATTATTTAACTTGATATTTATGATCATTCTCATTTAATGCATGAGAAATCCAAGATGAAGAAAGGTTCATGATTTCCTAAAGAACACCTGCCTAAAAATAGGCAGAGGCAAAGTTAGAACTTTGGTTTCCAGATTCAATGCATTGTTTTGTTCTCTTACCTCAAAAATGTAAAGAATCAAAACAAATTACATTTTAGAGGTAATTTTTAATCTAGCAGTTGTACATTTTCAGTGAATGCATAATGTGTAAAGTGTCTTGGCCCATTGATTTCATTTTATTTAAAGATTTTTAAAACGTCATTATACAAGTTAGATAATCATAGAAGAAAATAGTGAGAAACACTGGAAAAAAAAGAATTAAAATCATCCCATCATCCAGTATTAAACACTAGTCCACATCCTTGTATATGTGTGTGTATTATAATTATATATGATATATAAATATGATATACTGTTTTGTAACAGTGTCTCATGAATATATTTCCTTGTCAATATAAAAACATACTTTTACAACTTTCAATAACAGAATTACTGTTTCATTTTGTGAATGTCTGATATATTTGCTCTCCAATTAGATGTTTAAGTTGTCTTCAGGTTTTTAAGACTATGTCTAGCAACCTTTTATATATGTCTTTTATACATTTCCTTCAAAGTAAATTCCTAGAAGTGGAATTGGTGGTTTATATTTTTATGGTTTTGATATATATTACCAAATTAATCTTTGAAAAGATTATTTCAGATTTACATCAATGAGTACTAAGGCATTAGCAGTATATGAACATGTTGATTTCCTATGATTTTGCTGGTATTGGGCATTTTTCTGTTTTATAATAAGAAATTTATGAATTTCAATTTGTAAATCTGTAACTTTTCCAATTTACAAGTCAATAAATGGTATCTTGTTGCATTTAAATTTCTTTGATTATTAAAGGAGGTTAAAAATCTTTATACATATTTACTGAACACTTGTTTCCCTGTTCAGCTCCTTTACACATTTTTCTGCTGGGGTATTTATCTTGTTCTTAGTGATTTCTGAGAACTCACTCAGAACTCACTATTTATGTATCAAATATATTAAACCTGTTTTGACTTCTAAGTTGCAAATTTTCTCCAGCTCTTTGCCATCTAAGTGTATGATTTTTTTTTCTTCTTTTTAAGCAGATATTTACTTGGATCTCCCCCCCCCC